TGAAGGACTACTCATGCTTAATATACAACATTAAACTTTTATGGATTTACATGTAAAAACAATATGGTCTGTGGTTATTGAGTAAGTGTTGTATTGTGGCAATATTCCCAGCTGTTACAGGTTATTCTATTATTAAAACGTTTTCTTCATTATAATATACCATTTATATATTTCCTTTTTTTGCCACTTTTTTTAATCTTTATCATATCATACTCCGCAAAGGTTCATTTTGGCTTTTGTTCTTCACAATATTATGAAAATAGTCCGGAACTTAGGCTTTTGACAAGTAAACAAATTTGCAATGGTGTCCACTTACATCAGCTTGAACATCTAATTAAAGAAAAATAAATATATTCACCAGCACCTTGGTATGTTGATAATCTTGTCCTTTAGTCACATAAAGTAACAGGCATTACAAGCCAGTGCTCTGGAACTTTGCAGGACCCTAAGGTAGAGAGCTATGGGCAAACCTGTAAGGTGTGTGAGGTATACAGTACAATTTCTCAACAATAATTTAGACACACTCCCTATATACCGTATTTTTCGCTCCATAAGACGCACCCCCCCCCAAAAGGCGGGGAAAAAAGGGTGTGCGTCTTATGGAGCCTGACGCACGGAACATGCAGTTTGGGGTGCCGGATGAGCTAAAGCAGACCTCTATGTACAATGGGAGCCGCTGCTCATTTAATACAAGTGATCTATTCAGATCACTTGTATTAAAACCGAGCGGCGGCGGGGATCGAGTCCGCCCCCCTGCCGTGGTTTTCGGGTCGCCCGCTCCTCTGGGGGACCGTGACCATGGGATAGGAGCTCACCATAGAGCCCCTAGAGCAGACAAAGAACATCAGTTATTTGTCTGCTCTGTGTGAACACTGAGACCGTGGCGCTGTAGTCACAGCACCACCTGTCTCAGCGGTCACAAACTGCAGCTTCTGTAACAGTTTCTGTCACAGAAACTGTCACAGAACCTGCCCGCATCCTATGGTCCGGTGCGCCTTATGGAGTGCAAAATACGGTACTTGTATTGCAAGAGCTCATGTGTGCTAGCCTGTGCTTACATACCAAGCTGTTAAGGTCCACATGCTGTGCAGAACCTTCTAATCTAGAAGAATTGTATGTTCTGTGGTATTGTGTGGCACTCTCATGGCAGAACGGGGGGTTGCAGTCACCCAGGACTCTCAGCCAGAGGGTTGAGCAGTTCCAGGAGGCAAGTTCCTGTACTGGGAAAGAGCTGACTTTGCAGTTCTTCCCAGGATTTTTGGATTTGGCTTGGGATCCTGGAACTGGGAGATTTCTAAAAGAATTAGGAGGGGTGAAATCTCCATTCCTGGGTCCATTGTTTAGTAGTGGCCATCACCTAATTGCTCACCTGTTCTGGGCTACAGCTGGGAAGAGGAACAGAGGTGTTCAGGAGTCAGGAGGTCTCCACCCAGAAGTGAGAGGGGAGCCAGGTGGCTGCATGTGCTAGAGGCACAGGGAAGACAGCCAAGGAGGCTGAGAGAGCCATTTACACATTGAGTATGTGCGACAATCTTTGGTCGGTAAGACAGTGTCTACCTGCTGAAACATTAGCAGACTATATGCTGTGTTGATGAAAGAAATAAAAGACTGTCCTGTTTATGTTTCATCCCTCCCAATTCTCTTAGAAATCTCCCAGTTCCAGGATCCCATGCCAAATCCAGAAATCCTGGGAAGAACCGAAAAGTCAGCTCTTTCCCAGTACAGGAACTTGCCTCCTGGAACTGCTCAGCCCCTCTGGCTGAGAGTCCTGGGTGACTGCAACCCCCAGTTCTACCATGGGATTGCCACACAATACCACAGTTCGTTATGCGCATCATCATCATCAACAACAGGTCATTATCCAATTTTATTGCTTTAGCAGTAATGAAAAAATTATTTAACACTATTTTAAAGTGCCATAACTCTGTCTGTTGCAACACCTCTACAGTACTGTTGCTTTCTTTGTATTATGATTTGTATCTTCACTGCATCAGCAATGCCACTCAAAGCATTTTACCCTATTTTGCCACACAGTCAAGTACAGCAATATTTTCTTAAAAATTATTTGGCAGTGGTAGCTGTCACTAAAGTATCACTGTTCCTGTGGAGCAAGACTTACCAAATGACATACACAGCTACACTTAACCGGGGTCAGATGTTGATTCCGGTAACTACACGGGTTCTAACTTTGGAGAAGATAGAAATTGGTGACTGGGTATAGCTCTAAAATCTGAAGACTGCTACCTTTTTTCTTGAATTCCTCCTGAAAAATATCAGTGACTTTCTTGCATGTGAGTGTGACAAGGCACTGCTGTATCTATAGCTTTATAGCTGTATGTCTGCAGTGTGAGATCGAAATCACTGCTGCCTGTGACTGCTAGTCTCAGGGGAGATTTGGAGTGAGATAGTCACCAATTTCTATCCATCATGTCACTACTGTGCGGTTCACTGTTCTGTTTGGTAGAGGCTCTGACATGTAGAGGCAAAAGCCTGCATCTACCAAGATGACAGCCTCTACACAGAGACTACGTGAAGATCAAGGCATGCTAAGTCTGTAATGAGGAATGATCAGCTGCTGGGAGACCACTAACATTAACTAGTTATTTACCTTTAGCTGTGCTACCTTTTTGGGGCACAGCTCACAGAGTACAGTTTCAGTTTAAGAGACATTTATAATTATACTTTTTTTACCAATGAGGATGGAAAAATGAGAAATACCTGCAAATATGCTATAGATCCTTTGCTTCTCAGATATTGAAGTGCAAAGAAAAAATATCCCTGTTTTCTTCCATTTGTTATAGAGAATTTGTTCAACAAGAAGCTGTAAGTTTATCCCTTACAATAAGGATTTGTGTGTTGAGCAAGTGTTGTTAAATAAATGGAACTTCTAAAACCCAATTTAACCCATGTTGCATGCCTTCTCTGAATCTACAGTTAGAAGCAGAGTAGAGGTCTGATGAGTTTAAACATGGTATGGCATTGATCAGTCTAAGATTGAGCACTTTTAAGTGCATTTTAAGTCTGATTTTAGTAAATTATCGGGTTATTGTTACCTGAAGAAGAAGGTTGATAGTTTTAGGGAGTGTTACAGTAATGACCTGTAACATCTCTTTCAGGAAAAAAAGCCTTTACACTACACACTTATATAAGAAGCTCAGATGAAGTTTTAGTATAATACCAAATTATGTGTAACACTCAATCAAGATACCATCTTCCCCCGGCAGCCTTACTCAGTGGGAGTAAATCATTGATTTTGATTTTTTTTCAGTGGTGAATGAAAAATTCAATTGGTACAGCTGTTTTCACAAGTGAAGGGAGATGCATTTTTTTCAAGCAATGTGGTTCACATCGCATGGGAATGTATTCAAATCATCAGTTATGTTATACAAATTCCTATAGTAGTCACAGAATGTGATTAATTTACTAAAGGAGTAGTGACTGTTCACTTTGCAAATGATATGTTCAGTTTGTAGAGTGAATGTTAGTAAATAAAGTGAATATGTGTCACTGTCAATATCCAATTGTGCACCAGTAAAAATCCTTCGAAATGTATCTGGTACATAATTGGATATTTAAAGTGAACACAGGTTCACCTTGTTAATCAATATATCTCTGCAATGTATATTTACACTTTGTTAAGTGAACAGCCTTTATTCCTTTAGTAAATCTCCTCTGGAGCATGCCAGAGATTGTTTTTGGCAATCAAGACAAAATGTTATTTTAATTTCAAACTCCTCACAATTTACTCTCTTTGCAAGATAATATTACCCTATTTCTGGTACTTATTAATGCTTGTCCACATGCATTCAGTTCCGTAATTGTTTATTTGATTACTTACTTTGTTTATGGATCCCAGTTGTTTTATCTTATGTGCCAATTATGTAATAGAGTTCAGTTGTTATTTTTTCTGGTGCACTAAATTTGCTAAATATTATTTTATTTACATAAGGAATTATGTACATTACTTTTACACTCAGTAATGCACTTTCTTTCACATGGTACTATGAGAAACGTATTATGTGATGGCTGTTATATTTCTCTTTTTATACCTTTGCTGATATGGCTTATTTCTGTCCACAAATGTATTTGCAGGATTATTCACTAAAGCTGCAAGGCTGAGGTTTAAAATGCTGTAAATCATAGGCACTGATTTATCAAATTGCATTATTACTTAAGAAGTGGTAAATAGTGCCTAAGTTATGCTAATAAATAATATAAAATCAAATATGTTGAGAAAGTATTTTAGCATGTCTTATAGTGTATCTATGGTCAGGTTGTAGACATTCAAGTATTAACATATTCTTGAAAAAATATATCCGAGTACTGAGGAGCAATTCATCCTTAAAGTTCAAAGTTGACCACTGAAATCAGGCTGATTTTCCCAGTAATTTAGTTAACCTTGCTCCCCCCTCCCTTCTCCAGAAACTCCTGTGTGTTTTGAATTGTTATTAGGAGGCTGGACATCATGCTGAGAAGGGGAGAAGGGTATGGACTTTGGTGCTTCTGCTGTGAACTTTGAGGACTAATTATAGCAGTGTTAATCCTTTTCTACTCTATCCAGAACAAAAGAAAAAAGTTTTCGCTTTGCATACATCTTACCCTTGCACTTTTACTTACTCAATGAGCATGTTTAAGCTATTAAATAAGCCTTATGCTTTAATGTACAGTGTATAGTATCGTTTTTTTAATCACTTATATGTGGATTCACTGTATTATGTCAGTAAGGTAAAGAGTGATGGAAAAAATTCAGTAACTCTGAGTACAATCACTTTTTCTTGATAAGTGTTTGTCAATAATTGCTATAGAATAATACATTTGACTTTTTTAGGTAGAGAGAGAAATTGCATAATGAATTGCAGACCATTGTGATACTGTTTTCTTTGTACAATAACATTCGACAGCATTTTTATTTAGTGATGATTATGTGTATATGGATGAGTGCTATAAATATGGATTTGTGTACAGGAGATTTAATTCTGTTTGACTGTGCTCTTTTACAGTACCTGGTTTTCCCTATCCTGCTGCAACAGCTGCTGCTGCTTATAGAGGGGCACACCTTAGAGGTAGAGGCCGTACAGTCTATAATACATTTCGTGCAGCAGCACCTCCTCCTCCAATCCCAGCTTATGGCGGGTAAGAAATATATCTTGTTATATCCAGTTATTTCCAACAGCAAAAATCAACTTTCTTGAATGCATGCTGTTCTTTTCTCACTGCAGAAACTAACACAGTGTGTTGCCAGGCCAAGTGCCTAAAGTTGTGCACCTTGCTCAGAATATTGAAAAATGACTATAATTTGTACTGTCATGGTTGGTGGCTTTAAGCATTTGATATATCACAGGTTGTTATGTAAATTATACTAGCGCTTAGATGCTGCAGAAAAGAGGAGATTGCTACAATTGAAAATGTACCTCTTGTGATTGCAAACATCTGGTCATTAAAGAGGTTTGATAAAGACTAGGCTGTGAAGCTCCCCTCAAATTCTGATTAATAAGATTTCAGTGCACCAATAAAATCAATTTTTGTCTTCACTTAAGGTGCAGATGTCTCAGTTAATGTGTAATTCTCAGCATGCACCTCTTGACAAAGTGCAGAAGGAATTAAATATAGCCATCAGTGCTCTGATTTATATAGCTACACAAGCAAAGTTTCTTTCATTTAAGTTATCCTATTTTAGGGGTTTCTCTACATAATTTTGTATCACCAACAAATACAGAAATGCAACTCTTAATCCCACTTTTTATTCATGTGCGTACAATTCCACTCCAATAAACCTTGGTTTTGCAAAATCTGGATAAAATATGTCTACT